CCCTTGCCAGAATGTCTGCTAACCTATGTTAGTTTGCAGCTATTGTATCCTGTGTTAATCATAGTGCCTGTTACGTACCTTCTCTTGTCTTCTCTGTCAGTTTATGGACATACTCTCTCCATCTTACCATAATTTCTCCAACCTGGATGCTGGTCACTTCTGCTCCATCAAAGCCAGTAATATCTCACTGAATGATATCCATCCACACTTGCCTGCCCCCCTGCTTCACTGCTTGGAACCTCAGGATCAATCCTCACTGGACCCACCAAGACCACAACCACTCCAACCAAGACCTTCCCCTCCAGCTCACTCCACCTGCAAATAGGTAAGACTTTAGACATTTCACCTGGACTTTGCTCGCACTTCTCAGAACCACCTTGGCTCTCTTTTCGCTCTGTTTCAGTGCCCCAGTCAGCCGACTCTTGAGCCACAGTTTCTCTGACAAGTCTGTTTTCTCATTGCTGGCTACTGAGCCCTGACATTAGTGGCAGTATAATCTTATTGTGTTTATGGATGAGCTTACGGTAGAAACTGGCAAAGCCAAGGAAACACTGAAAATGTTTTCTGGTAGCTGGTTCAGGGCAAGTCCATAACTCCCTGGACTCTGGCTGAGGTCTGTGCTAGTTTGATCATTTGACGACACAGAGTGAAGATGAAAATTTAAACTTCTTACTTTTCACATACAATTTGTTCTCCAGTAAGTGCTGGAAAACCTGACGAATGACAGACTGACTCTCAGAGAGGTTCCTGGAAAAGATCCAGATCTTTTCAAGAAAGGTAAACACGAACTAGTTCAGAAAGTCTCAGATGATGTCATTTACCAATATCAGAGTTGTTGGTGCGTCAGAATGGCATTACTAAGTATTCAAAATGAACAAGTTGGGTTTTGAATGTTGTTTTCTATTCATCTCCTTGACTGATATGAACAAGATTACAAGTATTGCATAAATCCACTTAAAAAAAACAAAAAAGAAAAACAAAATAACAAACAGTGTCTAGGGTATGATGTAATGGGTATTTATTTTTAACAGTAATGTTGTTCAAACCTCGAAATATCAATGCAACAGCAAAGGGACTTGTCTGTTGTTGTTGTAGCTGTTAGAACTGATGTCTGAAAGCCAACAAAGATGCCCAACGGATTTACTTTGCCAAGTGGATCATCACGGCCTTCCTTTTTTGGTCCATTTGATCGACCTTTGTTGTTATTATTTATTTCATTTTATTATCAGTTGTTACAGACATGGCTGGGGGATAGGAAAGAGAGAAAGAAAGATGAAGTGGGACAGTGAGAAAGGACACTTAAAAAGGAAAAAAAAATCTCCCAGATCACCTGTTGAGAGAAAAAGAAAAAAAGAGAAAAAAAGCAAAAAAGAGAGCAACATAATAAACACAGCACTATCGCATTAATCTAGCTAACAGTAAATACTAAATA